AGAAACATACAATCTTCCAAAACTGAATCAGGAAGATTCAGAGAATCTAATTAAACAAATGACAATTGGTGAAATTGAATTAATAATCAAAAACTCCCAACAATAAAAGTCCTGGACCAAATGGATTCATAGGTGAATTTTGCTCAACATCCAAAGAATAACTAATACCTATCCTCAAATTTTCCAAAACATTCAAGAGGAGGGAAGACTCCCAAGCTTATTTTACAAGTCCAGCATTATCCTAATTTCAAAACCAGACAAAGACATGACAAAGAAAGAAAATTACAGGCCAATATTTCTAATGAACATATATGCTAAGATTCTCAACAAAATATTAACAAACCAGATCCAGTAATACATTAAAAAGATCATACACCATGATCAAGTGGGATTTATTCTAGGGATGCAAGGTTGGTTCAATAGCCACAAATCAATAAATGTGATACACCACATAAATAAAATGAAGGATAAATATCACATGATCATATCAATAGATGTAGAAAAAGCATTTGAAAAAATCCAGCACCCATTTATGATAAAAACTCTCAGCAAACTGGGAATAGAAAGAATATACCTCAATGTCATAAAGGCCATATGTAACAAACCCACAGCCAACATACTCAGTGGGGAAAAACTACAAATGTTTCCCTTAAGATTGTGGATAAGACATGGATGTCTGCCTTCTTAACTCTTATTTAACATAGTGCTGGAAGTCCCAGTCACAGCAGCCACACAAGAAGAAATAAAAGGCATCCAAATTGGAAAGGAGGAAGTGAAACTGTCATTATTTGCAGATGACATGATCTGTATATAAAGAATCCTAAAAATTCTACCAATAAACTACAACTGATAAATGAATTTAGCAATGTAGCAGTATACAAAATAAATATCCAGAAATTGGTTGCATATTTATACACCAATAATGAAATATCAGAAAGGGAAACTAATAAAACAATCCCATTCACAATTGTTTCAAAAATAATAAAATACTTAGGAATGTATTTAACCAAGGATGTAAAAGACCTAGACTGGGGAAATTAAAAGGCACTGAAGAAGGAAATTTAAAAAGACACAAATAAGTGAAAGGTGTTCATAACCAGGAAGAATTAATATCTTTAAAATGTCCGTACAACCCAAAGCCATCCATAGATTCAACACAATTCCTACCAAGATACCAGTGGTATAATTCGCAGAACTAGAACAAATATCCTAAAAATTTATATGGAACCACTAAAGAGCCCAAATAGTCATAGCAATCTTGAAAAAGAAAAACAAAATTGGAGGTATCACAGTATCTTATATCAAGCTATAGTACAAATTCATAGTAGTCAAAACTGCATGGTACTGGTATAAAAACAGACATATAGATCAATGGAACAGAACAGATAGCCCAGAAATCAACCGATACCTTTATGTCAACTGGTATTTGACAAAGGAGGCAAAAACATACAATGAGGTAAAGATAGTCTATTCAATAAATGGTATTGGGAAAATTGGACACACACACACACACACACACACACACACACACACACACACACACACACACGCACACAAAGAAACTAGAGTACTTTCTTACATCCTACACAAAAATAAACTTAAAATGGATAAAAGACTTAAATGTTAGACTCAAAACTATAAAAATCTTAGAAAAAAGCATTTCTTGTAGCAATATTTTATTTTATATATATATATATCTCTTTAAGGAAGGGAAACAAAAAATAAATTTAAAAATTATTAATTTTAATCAAACTAAAAAGTTTTTGCAGAGCAAAGGAAGCCATCAACAAATAAAAAGGAGAATGCACTGAATGGGAGAACATATTTGCCAATGACATGGTATCTGATAGGTTAATATCCAAACTTTATAATTTATGAAACTCAGCACCAAAAAACAAACTATCCAGTTTAAAAATGTACAAACGACCTGAATAAACACTTTTCCAAAGAGAACACACAGATAGATGTCCAATAGCCATACAAAAAGATCCTCAATGCTACTAATCATCAGAGAAATGAAAATTAAAACCACAATGAGATATCATCTCACACCTGTCAGAATGGTTATCATCAATAAGTCAACAAATAAGTGTTGGTGGGGATGTGGAGAAAAGGGAACCCTTGTGCATTGTTGGTTGGAATACAGAATGATATAGCCACTGTGGAAAGCAGTATGGAGTTACCTCAAAAATTAATTATGGATCCAGCAATTCCACTTCTGGGAATATATCCCAAGAAACCTGAAATACTAATTTGAAGAACATATGTAAACCTTTGTTCATTGCAGCGCTATTTACAATAGCCAAGATTTGGAAGCAGCCCAAGTGCCCATCAATAGATGAGTGGATTAAAAAGCTGGTTACATTTACACAATGGAATACTACTTGGCTGTAGAAAAGAAGGAAATCTTACCCTTTGCGACAGCATGTATGGACCTGGAAAATATTATGCTAAGTGAAATAAGCCTGCATGAGGAAGATAAATATCACCTGATCGCACTTATATGTGGAACCTAAAGGACAAAATAAACTAACAAACAAAATAGAAACAGAGAAATAAAGAGAACAGCCTGCCAGCTGTCAGATGGGAGAGGTGTTGTAGGGAGAGGTGAAAAAGATGGAGGGATTAAGCAAAGCAAAATAAAACAAAAACAAAACTCACAGACACACAGTATGGTGATTACCAGAGGGAAAGGGGGTTGGGGATGTCGAATATGGTGCAGTGGTCAGCAAACTCATTAGTCGACAGAGCCAAATATCAACAGTACAACGATTGAAATTTCTTTTGAGAGCCAAATTTTTTAAACTTAAACTATATAGGTAGGTACATTGTTATGAACTTAATTAGGGTACTCCTAAGGCTTAGGAAGAGCCACACTCAAGGGGCCAAAGAGCCCCATGTGACTTGCGAGCCGCAGTTTGCCGCCCACGTCTATAGGCAATACTACCCTCTACTTATCATACATAAATCATTAGCTACAAAAAAGTATAAATGGGTGATAAATGATGATAGAAGGAGATTTGACTTGGGGTGGTGAATATATAATACAATATAAGATGATATATTATAGAATTGTATACCTGAAACCTATTAATTGTATTAACGAATGTCACCTAATAAATCTATACTAATAAAAGAGAAAAATGGTAATTGGCGTACGACGCTACCCTTTTCATTGGCTAATCAGGGCTATATGCAAATTAACTGCCAACTCAGATGGCAGTTAACTGACAACA